GCCATAATAATGATAATTTAGGCTGCAATACCATGCATATATATTTTTTTGGTGCCCGATATATATCAAATTATCAGTGATATCTTCTTTTTTTTCTATTTTGAGATAAAAGATGGGTTTTTGTTTCCCAGTAAAATGTTCTCTCTGCGAAATCCAAATATTTCAATAGTTTATTTTGATTTGGTAAGGTGAAAAGAGACTGACGTGGTAAATAGTAACTGTTATGTTATTCACCTAAATACTGAATGATACCTAAAACACAGCAGAAAATTAAAGTGTATGATATTCTTCGAGATTAAGTGTATTATCAAAGTTTCGTATGTTTCATAATAATACTTGTAACGAATATTCCAAAGTAACTTTTGATTTGTAATGCTTTTTCCGTTTGCGACGACACTGACGAAAGAAGGAATAAACTAGTTCCAACAGCAAACAATCTTTCAACTGAGAAGGCAAAATCGAGCAAAGCCAAATATCGATGCAAAACAACGTCCATCATCTTCAATTTGTATCGAAACTTCCGGAAATACAGAAAGTGCACGTCGTAACATTTATATTAAAAAAAGCAATAAACTGCAATGATTCAAATTATGTTCATGTTGCTAGTGTTCGCAAATCCGAGACAAAAATAAGTCTTCCGCACGTGCCAACAAACAGACAGTGCAAGAGGAAATACACAATATGAGGAAAAGAGTGGCGAACTTAATGAACTTCTTGAGAAAGGAACTTGTAAAGAAAACATATCGGTCGACCTAGTCGTATGATTTCAATAACATTTACAAAACTGGTTGTCGTAGTTGGAAGCATTGCTAATGTATGCATTAGTTATAGCAGTTATCTTTCTTTTTATACGAATTGAAATACAAAGTCCATATAAAACGCCTTCCTATGATTTCTAAAACCTTTAACAATCTGATTGTCGTAGTCGAAGTCGTATTTCTAGCATTAGTTTCAACAGTTACCTGTCTTTTTATACAAATTGGTAAATTAGGTCATCCCCAAAATACTAGTGAAAGAACAAACGATATCAAGAGTTCTACTTTATATGTTAACTTGGATGACATCAACACTGTAGATCCAAATCTAAATGGTTAGCAGAAAAGCAAAACAGGTTTATTGGCGTAGAAAGAGACATAATTAATATTAACCTTAACGGGACATATGACCTGTACTTGTCTTTAAATATCGACATACCAAAGGTAAAGGGAAATGCACCAAACGAATCAATAAAATGCATATCACTCACTTGTCTTAAAACTAACCGATATGAGAACCAATGTCAACGTCATAGGTCACTCCTAAATACAAGTACTGTACCTATCAAATTTTTTCCCTCTATGGAAAGGAGACCAGATATGGGTTAGTGTGAAAGCATTGACTCAAATTTATAAAAGTAAAGCTAACAATCGTCTCATTATTACTAAATATCCTCTTAGATGATATTTGTAATACTTGGTAATATGGTTGCCAACCACTAGGGGAGATGTGTCTCGAAAATGGTTAAAGCGTTTGTCCGAAATTTCAAAGTCAAAAACCGTTTGTCCGAAATTTCAAAGTCAAAAACAGTTAAATAAATCCCAATATTCAAAAATTACAAACTGTGTTCGATTTTAAGGATAATATTCATATTTGGTATTATGTTTGCTCACCACCTGAGAGTGTATCGCAGATAAGGCTACAAAGTCTCTCTGCAAGGTCAAGTTAATCCCCGTATTCAAATATATTAAAGTCTTTTCCGAATCAAAACTTTCACATGCCTTATAGTATATTAATGATACTTGGTATAATCACCAGAGGGTGTGTCACGGATAGGGTTCTACAAGGTCGGGATCATAAAATTGATTAAAATATACATCCTCATATTCAACTATAGATAAAGTTGTTTTTTTTAACTTTTGAATGCCTTGTAGGATATTGACTATGTTTGATAGTATTGTTGCCAAAGAGTCTGTTTCAAATAAGGTTGGAATGCCTGTTTGCAAGGTCTAAATTCAATACTTTGTATATTAGGATCAATACAATTGACGGGGTATAATTAAATGATCTTTGCTCTCGTATCTTTGAATTGAAATATTCGTATTGGTGTACATGTACAATTGTTTGCTTATATTGCATTTACTTTGTGACCTTAAATTAAGAACAAGCTTAAACATAAGCATGTCTTTAGAGATGCAAAGGTCTGAATTTATTGATTACTTTCTTGAAGAGTTGTTTGTGTTGTTATACGCCCAATGGCAAATTATACATACGTATTCAAGAATGTTATTTGATTACATAAAACACAAATATAAAACAACCAAAAGTATATTAAAGTTAAACAAAGTATTTTTTTCTTTCAATCTGTGATACAAGTGTATAAAATATACAAATAACACATGTAAATTTTTTCCCTCTATGGAAAGGAGACCAGATATGGGTTAGTGTGAAAGCATTGACTCAAATTTATAAAAGTAAAGCTAACAATCGTCTCATTATTACTAAATATCCTCTTAGATGATATTTGTAATACTTGGTAATATGGTTGCCAACCACTAGGGGAGATGTGTCTCGAAAATGGTTAAAGCGTTTGTCCGAAATTTCAAAGTCAAAAACCGTTTGTCCGAAATTTCAAAGTCAAAAACAGTTAAATAAATCCCAATATTCAAAAATTACAAACTGTGTTCGATTTTAAGGATAATATTCATATTTGGTATTATGTTTGCTCACCACCTGAGAGTGTATCGCAGATAAGGCTACAAAGTCTCTCTGCAAGGTCAAGTTAATCCCCGTATTCAAATATATTAAAGTCTTTTCCGAATCAAAACTTTCACATGCCTTATAGTATATTAATGATACTTGGTATAATCACCAGAGGGTGTGTCACGGATAGGGTTCTACAAGGTCGGGATCATAAAATTGATTAAAATATACATCCTCATATTCAACTATAGATAAAGTTTTTTTTTTTAACTTTTGAATGCCTTGTAGGATATTGACTATGTTTGATAGTATTGTTGCCAAAGAGTCTGTTTCAAATAAGGTTGGAATGCCTGTTTGCAAGGTCTAAATTCAATACTTTGTATATTAGGATCAATACAATTGACGGGGTATAATTAAATGATCTTTGCTCTCGTATCTTTGAATTGAAATATTCGTATTGGTGTACATGTACAATTGTTTGCTTATATTGCATTTACTTTGTGACCTTAAATTAAGAACAAGCTTAAACATAAGCATGTCTTTAGAGATGCAAAGGTCTGAATTTATTGATTACTTTCTTGAAGAGTTGTTTGTGTTGTTATACGCCCAATGGCAAATTATACATACGTATTCAAGAATGTTATTTGATTACATAAAACACAAATATAAAACAACCAAAAGTATATTAAAGTTAAACAAAGTATTTTTTTCTTTCAATCTGTGATACAAGTGTATAAAATATACAAATAACACATGTAAATCGACATATTTACTACATGATATATGTCTTTTGATATCATAACAAAAATGTTAAGTTGTTCAAGTCAAATGCAAAAATATGTTGACGCATTAACACAAAAAAGACTTAACCAGTACCACAAAAAAACATGTTAATGAAAAACTTGCATGAAATAGTTTTAGTAAGAACGAAAAATAATAAATCAATTGGTTTACTTTATTCACGTTTGGTGGGTATAGAAACATTACCTCTTTTCTTTAAATACACAGTTCAAAACATGTATCTTTTGTTTGTTGTGCTTTATATCAAATTTTCGGAGATAATTTTTCTTTCCTTCTAAAATAAAAGAAAGTGTTCTGTGTCCCAATAATAATTCTCCTCATCGAAATCCAAATTTTCAATAGTTTTTATATGATTTCTGTGGTAAGGTGAAAAAAGACTGATGTGCTATATAGTACCTGTTTTGCTATTCACTTACATACTGAGTGGTTCTAAAACACGACAGAGAAGTTCTCCAATAATATTTGCCCATATGAACAATTGTTTTTATGGTTCAGGATATTTGACAGTGCAACATATAATAATCCGTTATTTACTGACAGAATATTTACCGTTATGAAGAGTGACAAATAATTTTCACACTCAGGATCGGTTTATATATTAATATTAATATTACAGCAGAAATCCATTTAGAAATGGAGGACTGCATCATTTGATATTTGCAGGTCAGTGGATATTGGTTTCTCACGTTTATGTTTTGATACGTTCTAATTTAGATTGATTGATTGGTATTTTAACGCCACTTTCAACACTATTGTGCTATTTCGTGGTGGTCAGTTTTTATTGATGGAGGAAGCCGGAGTGCCCGGAGAGAACAATCGACCTTCGGTAGAAAAACTGACAATCCTAGTCAATTAAGTTTAGAGTCGAGTGCACCTGCCCCGTGCCGGATTCGAACTCACAACCTCAGTGTTGACTGGCTAGTGATACAGTAGTTCGACTACTTAGACCACTCGGCCACCATGGCCCCTTCTAATTTAGATCTTTGTTATATGTGTATAAATAGTCATCTAATATTATTAGCTTTTAGCATGTTGATCGTAACGTCTCTTTTTTTTTAATTGTATTGTGTTTTATGTCATTTTTATGATTTATGTAACTCTTTACACTACAAGATAATTGATAGAAGTCTCGATGCTGGCACATAATAAATCTTTTGTAGCATTTATTAATTAAATTTTGATTGCTTTCTTTTTATTGAGACATCAAGTATTTCAAATTTATTGGAATACATTCACCGGTCCTTCTGTATGTTCATGTACTAGAGATGTTAAATTTTGTAGCAGGAAGAGACTTCTTCGCTATTTGAAAGATTTGTTTATAAAAGTTCGGCATTTTACTTTGAGTATAATTAAAGAGATAATGAAACAACATTTTAAAAGGGCGTTTTACATATTGAATTAAAAAGTTATACCTAAAAATAAATATGACGAAGGAAGATTTTTCTTTAGTTGTTGTTGTTGTTGTATAATAGCTTTTAATTTCTATATATAAATATTACGATTTGTATATATAGGTATGAAAATTTCCGTAATCTATATTTAGTGTCCTTAGTTTGCGTCATTTTCTTTTAAAAATGCCGTCAAAGCCAACGGATCAAGAGGCAAATATATTTTTTGATGAAAAACTGGCAAGCCGTGAGCGTAATGAACATATATCAGTTACTCAACATACCGTTGAAAGTGAAGTTGAATCATTGCATGACGATTCGCAAGGTTAGTACACAACAACAATAATAATAATAATAATAATAATAATAATAATAATAATAAGATATGTTTTAGTATATATACTCCTGCGAAGAGTTCTTGGTAGGGTGGTTTATAAGCCTGCATGTGTTTTTGATGTCACTGGATAGATACCACTGTTAGTGGACGTTTCGTCCCCAAGGGTATTATCAGCCCAGTAGTCCGCACTTCTGTGTTTATATGAAATACTATGATATGGCCATTTTAGATTAATTTACTGTGTATAAAATGTTGAATTATTCAAAATAACTAAGGTTTGTATACCCCCAGGTATATATTGCTTTAGCTGTGTTTGTTACAACGTTTTTGGAATTTTCTGTTTTGAAAGCTCTACAACTTCGTATTTGATTTGGCCTTCCAACTGGTTTGACTCGAACGCTAGTGAGTCTTATGTAGACGAAAAGCGCGTTTGGCGTACAAAATTATAAGCCTGGTTTCGCTAATGAGTTTATCGAACTGGCCTTTAAAAAAATAAAAGGTTTTCAATATCAGATCTTCTCCAAGAAATAAGGAAGTGTAACATCTAAGTTCGGCTAGTATATTTGTTCTCGAGAATTTCTGATTTTGTTTAATTTTTTTTAAATCAATTATTTGTGGCCTGGAAATATTTTGTTTAACTTCCACATATTTGCTACAAACAAGAAATAATTTGATCTTATATTTTTATTATAAAATTTGTGATGAATATTCCTCAAAATAACTTTTTATTTGCAATGTTCTCCAATTGAAGATGATGGAGACGAGCGAATGAATGATTCAATTCGAAAAGAAAAACATAACCCAAATGAACAGAAAAGATTTAGCACAAACTCAAACAGTAATATCAACCAATGTCGTAAATGTTATACGTCCAGAAGCGATAAAACTGTATCACCCAAATGCTCTGGTTCAAATCCTATACATATTGCCAGTGTCCACAAATCAGAGGAAGAAGTAGATAATGTCATTGCCAATAAACATATAGAACGAGAGGAAAAACAAACTGAGGAAAAGAACGATGAAACGAATGGACTTCTTGCGGAAGGAACAAATACAAAGAAATATAGCAATCGACCTAGTCGTATGATTTCAGTAACATGTACCAAACTGCAGGTTGTCATAGTTGGAAGCATTGCTATTGTTTGCCTAGCATTAGTTATAGCAGTAATCTTACTTTTTATACGAATTAAAACTATACAGGGACATAAAAGACATACTTCAAGTGAAATATCATACGATATTAACAGTTTTACTTTGCATGTTAACTGGAATGACATCGAAACTGTGAATTCAAAACAAAATGTTAATATTACATGGTTTCCAGTGAAGCAAAACAAGTTTATGAATGTAGAAAGGGACATCATTAATATTAACCTTAATGGAACATATGACCTGTACTTGTCTTTAAATATCGACATACCAAAGTTAAAGGAAAATGCATCAAACGAATCAATAAGAAACATATCACTCATTTGCCTTAAAACTAACCGATATGAGAACCTATGTCAACGTCATAGGTCATTTCCAAATACAGCAAGTACTGTACCTATCAAAGGTGTTTTTCCTCTATGGGAAGGAGACAAGATATGGGTTAGTGTGATAGGAATGAATCAAATTTATCAAAGCAGAGCTAACAATCGTCTTGTTATTACCAAATATCCTCTTGGAATATATAACTAACTAATTATCTTTACACCGACTTTTCGACGTTGTGCATAAAGACTGCAATTAACCTGGTTATACATGTACAGCTTTAATATTTACTAAATTGAAAATAATGTTTTTGAAGTCGCCATCCAAAAGCTGCATTTGAACATCTTATCTTGCCGTTTTCATCAATGTAAACGTCCATAGAACAACGCAAGATATAACCCGAATAGTGACAATACAGGCAAAACAATCCGTACCTGGAATTTAATTTGTGCGGAAAATATAGTTGAGAAAAATTAACAAAGACTGTTGGCTTTGAAAAGTATATATGTGTTCAGCTGTATGACAATAACACTACTTATATGTGTATTAAAGCTTCTGTGACTTGAATGCTTTGAATTATTCAAACAGTAGCTTATATTTCAGCGATGCATTATATGTCTCTGTAACTAGGTCCCGATAATAAGCTTCGGTGTTAATAAAGCTTGTTCTACATACAGGTTTCCAAAATTTTCGGGTAATTTAGGCAATGATTTATGCGTAAATTATTATTTCATGAGAATCGTGCGTGTTCATTTTTCAACACATGACGACCATTCGCTAAACCCCAAAAACCGCATATTTTTGCATTAAAAATCAATAACCTTTTGCATAATATTATTAGGTTTTATCCGACATTTTCAACGCATTTGGTTTACAAAACTTTAACAAAAGTCAAATTGTATATTTAATTTTGATTTCTTTCTTTTTCAAATTATGTTATTAAAGCTTCTGTGATTTAAATCCTTTCAATCATTCAAATAGTAACTTCTATGTAACCGATGCATGAAAATTATATCTCTCTGTAACTTGGTTCCGAAAATAAGCTTTTGTGTTAATGATGCTTGTTCTACATACAGGTTTCCAAAATTTTCGGGTAATTTAGGCAATGATTTTATGCATAAATAAACACATGGAAATCGCATGACTATTTCACGAGAATATATAAACCACAATTATACAATTTTCAATTAAGCTAACACTTATGAATAAGTATATATAGAACTAGATGGAAATTTTCGATGGTCTAGATCTTTATTTAATGCATTTTTGATTTTTGCTATTGTTCAAAAATGCCGCCAAAGTGTACAGGTCAAGATGCAGTTACATGTTTTAACGAACACCTTACTTTTCGTGATCAGCATAATGACCAAACAGCAGTAGCCCCGGAAAGTTTTAAAAATAATGTTGAAAATTGTGCATTTCAAAACGATTTGCAATTACAAGTTGAGAATTATTATTATTATTGAAAGTAAAATCAGCCTTTATGAAAACAAAAACACAACATGTATGAAGGATATATATATAAGATGAAAAGTCCGTGTACATTTGCGTCCATTCGTTTTTTGTTTTTAGATTTCAAAAACAAAAACGAAAAACGAAGGTTGTTTCATTTTCAGATTTTTATTTCTCCAAAACCAAAACGAAAAATGAAAAACGGAAGTGTTTTCGTTTTCCGTTTTTTGATATCACAAAACAAACCCGAATAACGACATCTGGATTCAATTTCTTTATTTAGTTCTGGTTATTTCTCGTTTATAGGGAAAATGGTACTATTACATTTTCCCAGCATTAGGTTGGCCTTTTGTGTACCCAAGGCAGGTGAAGGAAGTCAACTTAGGAGCGCTGTGATTGGATGTAAGGGTACAATATATTTTTTTATTTATCTATGAATAACTAAAGTGTGTATATTTACAATATAAATTTTGAAACCTATTGAAATATTTTCTAGAGAATTATTCGAAAAGACTTCCAAAATTTCATAAATTTGGTGTAAAAGGACGGTGGGCATGGATAACATAAACAAGCTCCGTTGGAAGTTGGTCATGATACTATTTGGCTTCAATTTATAAAACAGAATAAAAAAGTACTAACACCACACATAACTGTTTTATCCAAGTTTTTATTATAAAAAGTGGTAAATTTAGAAAATGTTAGTATTGTCGCCTATGGCAGAATAAATGGTACCGTTTTCCCTATAACTGGACAATGTTTTAATTTTTTTTATGATTATCAATTTAGAAACATGTCCTCGTCTTTTTTTTATCGTAAAGAAACATGTCAACGTAGTTCGTTTTCGATCACTCCTATCATTCTGTGATCGTCCCAATTATTGTACATAAAATAGACCGCCTGACTAATGAATTCAAAAAATAAGGTGATTAACGAAACAAAGACTTTCATTTTTTTTTTCTCTATGATAAGAAATAATATTGTAATATTCAAATAACTAATGGATAAAAAATATAAGTTATACAATAAAATATTCTATTAAGATGATAAGAATAATATATTTCATTACTATATCACATTGACAGGGGAGGTATAACTACGGATAAGAAAACGAGCACGGCCGTTAAAGTATACACAGCACTTATCAGATCAATGTAGTAATAGAATCAACGATAAAGTCGACGAAATAAAAAGACTTTAACAATCTCAATAATTAGGTCACATGATCTATACCATCTAGTGTTGAAAAATTGGTGATCTCAGATGATTAGAATTGATGACTATAAGGTCGATCAACCAATATTACACGAACATTCAGAACAGTTATTTAGATCAATTCCAAAAAACGACTCGAGCCTCAATTGATAGATAAAGAAATAAGAGAGGACGTATGATTGCCAAAAACAATCCACCAAAGACCAAATAACGTCGATATAAGCAACTATAGGTAACCGTACAGCCGTACCGTATAGGCCCAGAATGTAAAAAATGTGGAGATTTTATCGTATAGGCCCCGAATGGAAAACATGTTGAAGGCCGTACGGTGATCTATAGTTGTTAAAATCTGTGTCATTTGGTCTCTTGTGGAGCGTTGTCTCATTGGCAACCATACCACATCTTCTTTTTTATATGTGAAAACTGTACCAATTGATGGCGTCTGAAGCACTTTTAGGGATTTACCTTCATCAAGAAGGCCAAATGGAAAAAAACCAGTAAATTTCATCTGTTGGTAATCTAGCTTATTTCTTTTAAGTGGTTATTTAAAGATTTTTATGTAATTAGTTTTGTAGTTATACCAGGTCAGAATTTTCATTTTCAACAGATGTCTACAGCTCCTTTGACACACAAAGCAAAACAAATTGAAAGTATTTGTTTCATTTATCACAATATTTTAATTCATAAGTCAGGCGGTCTATTTTGGAACATAAATTTGACAATCAAGTGTTGATTTTGTGTTTTTGAAAACGAAAAAAAAAAAAAAATCTCGAAAACTCAGTTTAATCAGTCATTTTTTTCCCTTTGTGTGATATTGTAAGCCAAAATTTTGAATAGAACAAAAAAACTATTTACAATTTTTCTTGAAATTCTAGCACAGAAACCTTAGTTTCTCACAATTTGTAATTTTGTAATAAAAAAACTAAGGTTTTTAATCGAACTTTTTGGAAGAAAATTCATAATTTTCACACTGTATTTCATTGGTCGAGAAAATCATGACTTATGCCGTGACATAGAAGTGCTTGCGGACAAACAGACATACAGAGTGAAAACTATACGGCACCGCCGACTTATCGTCGGGCAGTGGACAATCACGTAAATCTCACTTTCACCTGTAGACGTCACACAGGTGTAAGTGAAACAAACTCTTTATAGCGTCAAGGCAAGATAGTTTTTTTGCAGTTTTATGATGGTAAAGGACGGAGACATGAGTCCATTCATTTTGAAAATCAGTACGTACACAAGATAAAACCAAAAGGAAAGGGACGGCGCTTTCATTGCTGTTTTTCATCTCAACCATAGTCTAATTAGACCTTCAAGATGGACGCAGTTAAGATTATATCTCTGATATATGGTGGGGTTTCTGAATACATTTTTTGATATTAAACAATTTATTACATGAGGTGGAATGGGCTTTAAACTTTGGGCTATATCTTAAGGCGCATTGAATAGGTCTTGATATAGTAAGCAAGTATATGTATTGTTTTATGGTCGAATTTGGGGTATGCAGAATAAGATAATATTAAACAGTAAAAATCCGTTGAGGTATTAGCAATAAGTTCTCTAAACTCATGCTTGAAAGAAAAATATATGAAATATTTAAACCAAAAAATGAAGTAAAAATTACATAGTGGTGTCGTATTTTGTTTTTAAAAAGGACAGAGGTTTCCCTGACTCAGCTTAATATCACTCGTCTTAAAGACGTTTTTGTAAGTATGTACTGTCAATTGAACAACAAACAGTCAATAAATATCTCTATCCCATGGCTCAGCGGGAGACAATTTTTTGAATGTCACCCTCTCGTGCAGACCAATCAAAAATCGATAATTTAAAGGACAATGAATTGAATTTACATCAATAAATTGAAGACAATGCTCATGGTCTTCGTTTTGGCCTCAGAAGAACTTTTTCGTATACTGTCAAAATAAGAATAAATTGTCTTACTTCCATTCTGTTGTTTTTCTAATAACTGATGTTATGTGCGTGACGTCATAGCTAAGAAGTTTCAATTCAAATTTTAACAGTAAAAGACACTAATTATAGAACATTCAATACAATAAATAAAATAACACATAGCTGAGAGGGTAATAGAGCAGATTGGTACCCCTCAAAAAAGCATTGTCAACCTCGGCGTCGCCTCAGTTGACAATGTTTCATCTGCTCTATCACCCTCCCAGCTATGTGTTATTTATATAATGTTACGTCGCTGACCCGTTGACAATTTAGGATGATCGCCTTATTCATATCTTAAGAATTAGCAAAACATAAGGTTTGGCTCGTTCTTCCTTCCTTTATGAACATGTAACCACGCTCCTTTAAATAGTTAATTGATCCACTACTGATAAAGCTTAGCGAACCCAAGTAGGCTTCAAACTAATAATCAATTGCTATTATAAACATTACTATTATTTGAATTTTATAATTGTTATACACTTATGTACTTTCACGGCACTACAATCTGTCGAAACCTATATTTTGGCATTGGACAAGGTCATGTTTTTCTCTGACTGTTAATGACGTTTTTACACTAAATCCATTGGATATCGGATGTGTACTGATTAATGTTTTATTTGTATATGGGTTTATTTTATTAGATTAAACTAGCTGTCAGTAACTGCGAGTACTCTCAGATCTGTACGTTGTGTCTTTTTTTGTTTTCAGCGATGTATTAATACATTGCCACCTCCGGTCTGTGTTTTTGTTGGATGTTTTCTGCTTTGTATCGCTATGATGAGTTCAGCCCTATTCAACTGATTTTTATATTTTGTTCTTATGTTGAGATATTACACCACAGTCCCAGGTTAGGGTAGGGTTAAGCGCTCACAAACATTTTTAATCCGCCACATTCTTTATGTGCCTGTTACAAGTCAGGAGCCTGTAGTTCTGTGGTTGTCGGTTCATGT